TTCCTGATAACCACATGGCGGCTCACGACTAGCTGTAATGTGATCTGATGCCCTCTTCTGGCGTGCAGTGTTCATGCACATAGAGCACTCCTATACATAAAATAAATAAATAAATCTTTTAAAAAATTTTGTTCATTATTTTGATGTGCACATGGGTGCACCTATGGCTATGAAGTCAGTTCTCTCCCACCACCTTTCTGTGAGTTCCAGGGATTGAATTCATGACACCAATCTTGTACAGGAAACACCTTTACCTGTTGAGCTGTCTCCAGCCCTGAGAGACTGGACTTTGAAATGTTTGAAATTGTTAAAGGTTATAAGACTTTTGTTATTATTATTATTATTATTATTATTATTATTATTATTATTATTATTTTGAGACAAGGTTTTGTTGCCTAACTTTGGCTGTCCTGGATTACTTTGTAGATCAGGCTGGCCTCTAACTCACAAAGACCCACTTTCCTCTACCTCCCTGAGTGCTGGGATTACAGTCATGCACCACTCTGCCTGGCTGGGTTTTAAAGTTGGAATGAATGGATGAATTTTGTATTATAACATTCTGTCCTGCGGGGACAAAAAAAAAAAAAAAAAAAAAAAAAAGGTTATGGATTAAAAGTGTTCTGTTTAGTTGCCAAGTTGATGGGGTAGACTTGTGATGATGTTATCTGTTTGACAGAATCTAGAAATCATCTGAGAGATGTGCTTCTGGACATGCCTTTGGGGATTGTTTTGATTGTATTCATTGACGTGGAAGATTTGCTCCCTGCAGGCAATATCATTCCCTTAAAGGAACACTGGACTGTATGAATGGAGAAAGGAAGCTGAGCAGCAAACCGTGAATGCATTCATCACTCGCTGGTTTCCATTGTGGGTCTGATAGGACCAGTTGCTTCCAGCGCTTTGAGTTCCCTGCTATGATGGACTGTATCTTGAGCTGTTAACCAAAAGAAACCTCTTCTCCCTTAATTTGCTTTTTCTTACAGTATTTTATCACCATAAGCAGCAAAGAAACTGACATAGTGCTATAGAGTATGTCTAAAGTCAGCATGAACAATTTTGGATAATTTATTGAGACCTTGTCTCAAAATAAGGAGGAAAAAGAGGTCTGGAACCTGGGGGTATAATTCAGTAGTCGTTTTTATTTGGGCTGGAGATGTAGATCAATTCGTTGGTAGTCTGCTTGCCTACCATGCACAAAGCCCTGGATTCAGTTCCAAGCATCTCAAGTACTGGCTATGGTGGTGTATATCGGCAATCCTAACACCTGCGTGGTGGAAGCAAGAGGATCATAACTTCAAGGTCATCCTCACCTGTATAGCAAGTTGGAGCCCAGCACGAGCTATATGTGACCCTGTCAGAGAAGGGGTGAGGGGAGACCAGAAGTGTGAGTGAACTGGAGTTCATTGGTAGCATTCTTATCTAGGATTGCTTGCCTAGCACATGCAAAGCCCTAGATTCAGTCTCCAGCAGTGAAGATAAACAGTATTCTGTAAAAATGACGTATTTATAAAGCACTCTCAATAGAATGTTGTATTTTTTTTAGATTTTTTTTTTAAAGAGCGTTTACCTACATGTATGTGCTCCACGTGTGTGGAATGGTTGTGAGCTGCTATGTAAGTGCTGGGAACCGAACCTTCATTCTCTCCAAAATCGGTAAGTTCTCTTTCTTTTTTGACAGGGTAGCTCTGGCCTGGAATTTACTATGTGAATCAGGCTGGCTTTGAACTCATAGGGATCCTCCTGTGTTTGCCTCTGCTGACCAGTATTTTTTTTTTTTGGCTTATTTATTTATTTATTTTATTTTTTCTTATCAATTACATTTTATTAACTCTGTATCCCAGCCGTGTCCTGCTTCCTCATTGCCTCCCAATCCCACCCTCCCTCCCTCATCTCCACCGTGCCCCTTTCCAAGTCCACTGATAGGAGGGGACCTCCTCCCCATTCATCCGATCCTGTTTTATCAGGTATCTTCAGGACTGGCTTCGAAGCCCTCCTCTGTGGCCTAACAGGACTGCTCCTCCCTTAGGGGGTGGGGAGGTCAAAGAGCCAGTCATTGAGTTCCTGTTAGAAATACTGACCAGTATTTTTAACCGCTGACCCATACCTCCAGCCCTGAGTGTTGTCTTTTAATCTTTCTTTTCTTTGTCTGTTGCCGTTTTGGCAGTACTGGAGATTAAACCCAGGACTTCACGCATACTTGGCTCATGATATTTAGTAGCATGCTGTTTTCTGATTCTGGGTAGTGGCAGTGAGCCCCAGTTCCGATTCTGCTGTATGATCTCCAAGGGGAAGCAGCCAATACTTTATAGTGTTCTGTTGCTCAACTGTGGTATCTGGTAGGTTAATGTTACATATTTGAGGGTTTTTGTGGCAGGGTTGCACGGAACCCAGAAGGGCCTCCTCAGACTTTGTAGCTTAAGACGCCCTTGAACTCCTGAACCCGTCTCCACTTCCCAAGGGCTGGGATTACAGGTGTGAGCCACCAGTTTCAGTTTAAGTTAGGTTTATTAAAAATCTAATTTTGATTTGTAGTTGTTTTAAATCACAGTGGGTTTCACCACATTAGTCCCCCTTCTCATTTCTTTTGTTTGGAAACCTGTAGTTTATTCTAATAATACACTAAGTCTAGTAATACAACCTGGTGTTGGGATAGAAATCTTTCCTTAGTGAACCCAGGCCTCCCAGGTAACCAAACCCCAAACAGAGAGGTCTCAGACACACATCTTTAATCCTGCAAGCAGGACAAGAACACACCTGGTGCCCCCAACCTGGTGGTTGGTAGCAAGCAGCTTGACCACTGGTATCTTGGTCACATTAACCAAGACCCCTACTCTCCTACCCAGAGAAAGTTGATCCCTGACCTGTAGCTTAAGTCATAAATACTCTGCTTCCCTATCTAAAGATAGATACCTTAGGTTACATGTTTACTAAAGTCATTTCCCCAAGTGTAAAATATCCTTTTCTCTAAGAAACTTGAACATTTTCTCATGGTAACCTCAACCCACTTATTTGAATCCCTGCTGTGTGGTCAGTCAACATTAATAAGACTTCTTTGTTTGTTTGTTTGTTTTGCCTAAAAAGACAAGTTCATCCATCTTCAAATCTACGTCAAACTCTCCTGAACATTTCTCCCAAATCTCCCAAGGTTGAGGCTTGTTGCTTAAAAAGTTTCCTTAGGTGGGCCTGGTGGTACACACTTGTAACACCAGATACACAAAGGTTAAGACAGTAGGATCAAGGGACAAAGGAAGGATGGAGAAATAAAAGGAGAGAGTGGGATAAATAGGAAGGCAGCCAGGTGTAGTGTTTCACTCCCATAGTCCCAGGTATCCTCTGAAAAGAAAAACAAAGCAAACACAAACTGTCGACAAGCAGAAATGAACTGTTTCTCTGGGTCATGTGTGTTTGACACTTTTGGTATGTTTGAGAAGGTTCCAAATGTTAACACCTCCCTGTACACCAGTGTAAAGTGCTGTTGGTGTAAAACCACGACACTAACCTGAAAGAGTATAAGAGACACTATTCTGGATTCAAATATGAGAGACAATGGCCCAAGACTGGAGATTCAGGTAGCCCCAAGACTATTTCCAAGTTGGTTACAGTCCCATTAACAAAGAGAGGTGTGAATCAAGACTTTTCAAATATATTGATGGAAATAGCAGGTAGGCAAGTTACAAAAGGGACATCTCTGCTGTAAGCCTCAGACACTATCTGCCAACACTCTTAGCCTTTGGTTGTGGAAGCTAGTGGGCTACCAATAGGTTCCAAAAGGGTTTTTATCTGATTAGCTACAAGGATATAAGGTCAGAAGAGGTAGTTAAGGGATGTCTATGAAAGGGGCTAACATAAATTGTAATTAGGCTCTTGCCCTGCTACACTTCACCCTTCCTAGTCACTGAAGTCTTCATTTGTTATTCAAGTTTTAACATAATGTGCAGTTTTGTTGAGATATGTCTGTTCACAGTGCTGAGACATAATATATTTATATTAAAGCAGTAAATGGCAAGACACTGATAACCCCAGCAAATGAGGCAGGGTCATGAATGAGGCCGGACTAGGTCCACTATCTTTAAATTAAAAAAAAAAAAAAAGAAAAAAAAAAGAAACAGCAAGTGCTGAGTGGAATTTTCCTGGGGAGATGTGAATACTTCTTTCCCCCACTAACCATTCCACCCAAGTCCAGCTTGGTCTACTATGTTGAAAAGCACAACCAGGTGAGAGGTTATAGGAGACCCAAAAACATTTGCATCACCTCCAAGTCCCATCCATGAAATCCACCTTTAACCATCCACTTCCCAGTATCACTTGCAGTTGGGAGTTGGTGGGAGTCATGGCTCCTTTGTCCCTCCCTCCCCCCTCTCCTACTCAGGAGTCAATAACTCCATTACCTTTATTTCCACACCCATTTCCCAACTCCCTAGATTATACTTTTTAGCCAGGCTGGCGGTGGCGGCACACACCTTAAGTCCCAGCACTTGAGGCAGATCGCTGAATTAAGAGGCTAGCCTGGACTACTGAGTTTGTTCCAGGACAGTTAGGGCTACAGAGAAATCCGGTCTTGAAAAGCAAAGCAAAGAAAAAAAAAAAAAAAAAAAAAAACCAACCCTGCTTCCTAGACTTACCAGCTGTTCCTCAAATCCTACTGCTGACATGTTTAAAGCCTGTTTATCTTGGTCTCTCTTATCTCAGGCCTATTTGTCTGCTTCTCTGTTGACACTTGCTTATTTTAGGCACGAGGATCACTCCCCCTCTATTCAGTCCACTTCAAGAGTAAGCTTAGTGCTAGACAGCTTACATGGGTATATACCAAGGTCCCTGTGTTATACCAAGGTCCTGTGTTAAAGCTTCAACACTGCACACAAATTGCACACATGTGGTTGGTCAGTCATGTCCAATTCATCAGAAGCACCCAGACTTGCTAGGCTAGATCAGGCCCAGAATTTGATTATTTATGTTTCAAAACACCAACAAATTTGAAAAAACTGACACAAAACCACAAGTAATTTCATCATGCTGTTTAATCAAGCATGCCACCATGAAAGGCTTGTATTGTAGCAAGAGTACAAATACTTCTCCAGCATGTCTCCTAGAGACTATTTCATCCACTGCTCTGTTTGGCCGCTAGCCTCTTGTCTCTCTCTTCAGCAATGGTGAGGCGGATTCCTTTTCCTCGGGGAAGAGAAATATATGGTTTGTTGCCCTAGAGGAAAAAGAAAAACTGTATTAGAAGGATAGCATAGGGCACAATTGTCCTCTTGGTTAATGACTGAAGTCACTTGACATGCTGGCCACTGGGCAGACGGATGGTCCTGAGATCAGCTACTAGAGCTACTAGAGCATGTCACCGATTCCTGTTGCAGTGGCTAATTCATTCAACCACTCACTGCCCTTATCTATACAGACATGGGTGACAATACCCTTCATACTTAACACCACTGCGGTGGTTTACCATAGAGCAGGCACAAATTAACCTAACGAGGATCATTTTGTTTCTAAGAAAAACAACCACAAACACTTAAGGAAGATTCATGCCATTTCAAGCACTGCTCAAAATCAAATGACAGGGTTCCTTGGTCTTATGACACCAAAGATGCCCAGCGGTGTCTCCTCTCCGTATTTTTATAGACAGCTAGTTAAGGGAGACCCAGACTCACCTTGCCAATAACAAAAATGTTGGAAAGCCGAGTGGCAAAACTGTTGCCATTGGCATCTTTCACATGAACCACATCAAAAGAGCCGGGATGTCTCTCTCTGTTGGTGATCACACCAATTCTTCCCAAGTTAGCACCCCCGGTCACCATGCACAGGTTCCCTAGGCAGGAACAAATAATCTGTCAAGGTCCCAGGCGTAATCACCAGCAGATGCAAGCCCTATCCCAAACAGAAGCCAAGCCAACACCATAGTCCTACTTCAATAAGTCTAATGTCTATAGAGCTGTAGCCTTAAGATCTGCCCCAACCCTCAATTACAGCTAATGTAAACCAAGTTTTCTATCTGTGTGAGGAACTTCAAGCCCTCAAGCCTCTTGCTTGGAAAGCCTCTAGTCTAGTCCCAAGGCACAGCTGAACCTACCTGCCTCCATCTTCATCAGCTGGTATGAGGGGAAAAAAATGAAACAACCCCCCAGGGACAGGCTGCTTACCGGTGTCAAACTTGATGAAGTCAGTTATCTTGCCGGTCTCCAAATCGATCTGAATGGTGTCATTCACCTTGATGAGGGGATCAGGGTAGCGAATGGTACGAGCGTCATGGGTCACCAGATGTGGGATTCCCTTTGTGCCCACGAAGATCTTCCTCACTTTGCACAACTTGTACTAGTATAAAGGGGTTAAAGACAGTCAAACTCACATATACCTCATCATAGTGTTTTTTAAGTCGGGTACATGGCTTCAAAATTTCTCAAGTACAGTTTGTGCATTCTGCTCCAAAAAAAAAACAACTGTATTAGGAGTCTGTGAACAATGATTTCACCATGCATTTCAATTTGCTGTACTACTTGATATGCTTAAAGAAATCAAATCCCTGGAGGCCAATGGGCTTGTTGTCCTTCAGCCTGCTGATAACAGAGCAGCATGCATAGAAGCCAGAAGCTATACCACTACTTGAATTAAACTTCACTCACAGCCAATAATCCAAGAAGCCCTAAACCTAAAACTGAATTAAGCAGACAGTAATTAAGAGAAAACAAAACACCTCAAACCAATGCCCCCAAGATTGTCAGGCTGATTAGGACTTTCTAGTCCTTTATGTTTAAAGAAAATTAACCCAAGAACTTCAAAATTAATTTCAAGAAATGATTCTCCCTGTTTCAAAAAGCTCCAAGACACTTGGCAATGGACTAGATGGGCTGGGGGTAGGTCAGTGACAGCATGTGTTAACCACGTGAGATACTGAGCTAAGTCCTTAGCACCAAAAGAAGTTAAACCACACGCCAGAACATCACTTAACAGTTAACTCATTTCCAGATACACAATTGAAACCAATTCCCATTTGCTCTAGCTTACACCTATGATTTAACTCAGAAACAAGACCTAGCCTGCTTGCTATACTTACCTTGGCCTCTTCAGGTGTAATACGATGAACAGCAAAGCGACCCTTGGTGTCATAGATCAGACGGAAGTTCTCTCCAGTCTTGTCAATGCTGATGACATCTGGTATCAAAGAAAAAGGTTACCACAGCGATCCTCACCACACCGCGTTGAACTGGGAGCCCGACTCCATTTTCACTATGACTCCACATAAAATTTAAGGTAAATGAGAACATCTCCGTAACATTTAAGTTAAAAAAAAAAAATCTGTATTAACTCTGAATTACCACAGCTGTAATTTTAGCTTAAGGGCTAGTTATCCTCTAGCAAGTCTCCTTTTAACCACTCACCCATAAACCCAGCAGGGTAGGTTATATCAGTCCTGACTTTGCCATCAATCTTAATGAAGCGCTGCATGCAGATCTTTTTCACTTCATCTCCAGTCAGGGCATACTTGAGTCTGTTTCTTAGGAAAATGATCAGTGGCAGACATTCCCTTAGCTTGTGAGGACCAGTGGATGGACGAGGAGCCTGCAAAAGTTTGAAAACTTTTGAATTACACAGGGGCATCGTTTAGATATTTAACATCCCCCCCCCCCATCAGATCTGCTCCTTTTAAGACCTGGCCGTCCGTGTATCCACTTAAGTGTACTTTGTAACATGTGGAGGAAATCAAACAGATGTTATCAAGATTGAGGCAGGACACAGGTCTTTAGAACCAAAGATACTCTACATTCAGTTCCAGGAAGAAATAAGTTTGTCAAAGGTATGCCTTTTACAGCACGGTACTTACAAAAACGCCGGTCAATTTATCCAGCATCCAATGTTTTGGCGCTGCTACACGCTTCAGATGTTTCTTGGGACCACGAGCCTGAAGGAAAATTTAACGGCAACATTGTTAAAACTGTACAGGGTCCAAGTAGAAAAGGCAGATGAGCATTAACAAGCTATACCTGGTGTTACAGATATGCCAGATCTCTCCATTATACTGGTTAAATGCCTGTTCACAAAGTTTCTCAATTGCCCAGCGGCTTGACCCTGGATGCTCAAGCGGACAGCAACAGAAAATGGCCCGGGACCTTATTTCAACTGTCAGTTAAATCTGTAGTATTTAGCATACGGCCATCTGTGTTTCTGGTACAAAAATCACATTTAACCACGGCACTACCACGTGTACTACTCCTTTGTATGCTAAAGGACTGGTGCCGACTTTCACATTTGAGTGCGGAAGTCTTCCGCTTCGTACCTTAACCCGCTACATACTGTCAAGTCTGCCCAAAGGACAGGCAAGAGCCCATTCTTCAAGCAGACCCGGCGCCCACCTGCCCCTGGCTTCAGTCTGCAGTCCTGGCTACTCGCAACTCCTGCCCAAGAAAAGAAGTCCTCCCTGGGATAGCCGATGTGATAAGGCCTTGCCCTCTGCGGCACACTTCCCATCCTAGCTCCCTCGACATGGAACCCATCTCCGCCTGCCTGCAGTAGCGTTGCCTTCGCTTCTACCCTGTAGTCAGAGGGGGCCCGGATGCTCGGGGCAGCCTCGGTCAGGGAGGATGGAAGCCGATCCAACCCAAGAGCTCGGAAGACCCGTGCTTACCATGGCTGCGCTGGGAACGGAAAGAGACTCTCCTTCTTCCGGTGAACGAAGAAATTAGGGTCGGAGGCTGCGCGCGCCGGAGCATGGGATGCTCCGCCCAGCTTCAGCCTTTCCCAACGGGCGGGGACTCTCTCTTGCCATCTGCTGGTTGGAGGTCAGAGGTCCCAAGCTGGGAAATCGAGACTGAGTGACTCTCCCCAAGATTCTTGTGGCTTTTTCTATGTGCTGAGTGTCTTCCCAGGCTGAGTGGTGAGTGCTGGAGACGCCCAGACATCTGGAGACGTACTAGCTACCTGCCTGCGAGCATAGGCGATAAAAAGATACATTTAACACTTGATACTTTTCTTATACAAAGTTTCTCTCATCTTCCAGAGTTCCCAAGCCAACCAACCAGCCTCTTGCTAAGAGGGCCAAAGGCACTTCTTTGTTTTTGTGCAGATTGCTGAGGAAATAGAACTTTCAGGATGAGAGGGTTAGGATCTCTGCTTGAACCTGGCTCTCTGCGCATCCATTCCTGTATAACGCATTTGGCGTTTGTCATACTGTAAGGGAAGAGAGGGAATATTAGAGATCTATACAGGTTACCTAGTCAGTCAGATCTGACTGTTCTACTCTCCTGCATTGAAGTTGTCCTTCATTCTCCATTTCCTGCTCTGAAGGAACAGAGTCCTTTCATTTATCTGTAGCCTCCCCAGGTGGAAGAACCTCACCCATCCTAAACTTCAAAGATTCAATCCCTTCAAACTATTATGAAGAGCGATTTCCCCCTCTCCTCCTCCCCTTTCTCTCATATGTGTGTGTGCATGTAATATAATATATTACTGCCATCAATGGCTGCTGGGGGAGGAGTTGCTTATATATATCATATATACATACATATACGATATGTATATATGATATATATTTCTCTTGAGACAGAGCCTCATTATGTAACCCAGGCTAGCCTCAAATCCATAATTATTCTGCTACAACCTCCTGAGAGTTGGGTGTACAGGCATGCACCCCTCCACAGTCTAAATAGTCTTTTTGTTGTTGTTGTTTTGTTGACAGATTCTTTCTAAGGCTAGTTTTTAATTTTTGGACTCAAGCAATCTTACCTCAATCTACCAAGTGTCCAAGAAACAAGCAAATGGTCTTATTTTTATTTATATTTACTTTTTGAGACAGGCTCTTCTAGGTAGGCTAGGCTGGCCTCCAACTCAAGATCCTCCTGGCTAATCTTCCCAAGTGCTGGAATTCTAGGCATTGACCACTATGGCCAGCCTATAGCTTTATTTTAAATTGATACACAGCAAATTGTACAGATTTAATGGGACACAGTATTACATGTCTATGCATGTATATAATATATAATAATCAGCTCAGAGCAATTGCCACGTATTCACCTCAGACCTTTATAACATCTTTGTGTTGGAGGTGTCCATTTATCCTCTCTCCTATTTTTTTTTATTTTTTTCAACTTTTATTAGTTACACTTTATTCACTTTGTATCCCCCCATAAGTCCCTCCCTCCTCCCCTCCTAATCCCACCTTCCCTCCCTCTCCTACCTATTTGGAAGCATGCCACCAAAAATTTTCACCCATCACTATGTGTGTAGCCGTGAACCATCCTCTTTCCATCCTTCTCAGGTTCTGTTAACCACTATTCTACACTTCTTTGTGATTAGCTTTTAATGGAATTAATCTATTTTATGCTTATTTATGTTATTTTTATGTTTATATATGTTTGCTGGCATGTAGTCTGTGAACCACTTGCATGCCTAGTGTCTCCAGAGGTCAGAAGAAGACATTGAATCCCCTGGAACTAGAATAATGGATAGGTATGAGCATGTAGATGTTGGGAGTTGAACCCAGGTCCTCCACAAGAACAAGTCTCTCTCTCTCTCTCTAGCTCTCTCTCCTTCTGGCTCTCTGTCTCTCTCTCTGGTTTTTCAAGACAGGGTTTCTTTGTTTAGCCTTGGCTGTTCTGGACTCACTTTGTAGGCCAGGCTGGCCTTGAACTCACAGCCTCTGCCTCTTGAATGATAGGATTAAAGGTGTGTGCCACCACACCCAGCTAACAAGTCCTCTTTAACAGCTGAGATATCTCTCCAGGCCTTTTATTTTATTTGAAAATAAATAATACTGTATTGATTTTCTGACAATGTCATACTTGTGTATAATGGATTTTGGTCAGATTCACACCCCATTCCCCTTTGTTATTCCCCTCCTGTTACCTCTGGACTCTTCTTCCCCACATGCTCCCTTTGTACCTGAATATAGTTTTTTGGTTTGTTTTGAGACAGGGTCTCATACGCCCTGGCTGGCCTGGAACTCACTAGAACCTGTCTGCAATTGCCTCCTGAGTGCTAGAATTAAAGGCTATGCACCACCATACTTGGCATTCTTTCTTTTTTTAAATAATTCACTGAAGCAGCTGAGTTTAGTGACACAGGGCTACCTCGTGAGACTCTATCTCAAAAACAAAACAAACAAATAAAAAAACCCACAAAACCCAAGCAAACAAAATTGAATTAGTTTGTTTGAACTTCAATATTACTTGCATGTGCATGGGTGTGGAGTTGCTGACTGGATCATGGACAACTTAACAGTGACTGCATCCCTGAAGGAAAGTGATTCTTCAGTAACCATTAACAGCTCTCCAGCTAAGGGCTGGGCCTCACAATCCCCTCCCCGATTCCCTGCTGGAATGTTAACGACTGGATCTTTCCCAGGTTTGGTAGAGGAAACCACAGCTGCTGAATTCACTAGCCATGTCCTGTCCAGAAAAACTGCACTCCTTTCCATCTTCTGGCTCTTAAAAGCCACCACCCCTTTCCACCAAGTTCCATTACCCTGGGAACTCCGTGTGTGTGTGTGTGTGTGTGTGTGTGTGTGTGTGTGGCGCGCTCTAGCTTTTGTCCCATTTCAGTCTGAAAGATCTGCTCTGCAGACTGGCTCTTTCAAGACTACCTGTAGGCCTGGCGTGGTGGGGCACACGTTTCATCCCAGCACTTTGGAAGCAGAAGCAGGCAAATCTCTGTGAGTTACAGGCCAGCCTTGTCTACAGAGGACAGCCAGGGCTACTCACTGGTCAGGAAAAAAACAAAAAAAAAAAAAAAAGAGAGAGAGAAAAAAAAAAAGACTGCCCGTGGACCCCATGATTCCTCAGCTTGGAACTGCCATGAACAGCCCAACCCTCTCTATGGTACTACCTCATCCTATGCCTCAGCTTTAGAGATGCCTACAGCTTCACTTTCTCAGGTTCTGGGAGCTGCCAGGCTCCTTGGGTCCTCCTGAGACTTGGCTGTTTGTTTTTAACCCTGGACTGAGGTGCTTACTTAACATAATAAAGCAGACCTGGCCCTCAGGTTCTCCGTGCATTCCTCCATCCTTACCTGTTACAGGGTCCTCCTAGTTATAAGCCCAACCCCCTTACCGAGGCTGGGCTGCTCTTCCCTATAGAATCCAACTGTTTCGGTTGTACTCTTGGGTTTCCTGGTTGCTGCACCTGGTTTCCCTGCTCTCTCTTCTCCTACATCATGTCTGCATATGGCTCAGCTCCATCTGGTCATGTCTACTCTGGGCTCCCAGGTGTCCCTGCCTTTGGCTCTGCTCTCTCACATATCTATAAGAAACCTTCTCTTCCACCATTAGGAGCAGTCATATCCCTCCCCCCCCACCCCCCATCCCCCCCCACCCCCCCCCACCCCTTTCTTTTCACCCGGTCGTCAATACCTCCTTCCCCCTGCTCCAAAGCTCAACTCCAGCACTTAGCTCCACAGGCGGGAAGACTTGACTGACTTGCCTGCTGTCTGCTAAGCCAGACATTCCCAGGCCAGAGCTGCCCTAATCCATCCCCGCACGCCCTTCGCCCTTAACAGAGAACTCGGCACTTCAGCCAGCACTTGGTAAAAAGTTGCCGAATGGATACATTGAGTCAACAGCCTGCTCATCTCGCCACCCTGCTATACTACTCCCCCCACCATGAGTCTGAGCTCCTGACTCAAGAGGTTCCGTGTTACAAAGTTCCGTCTCTGCATTCTCTTTACCAAGTAATCATCTGCAAAGGAGCAAAAGAAAAATAATTTCGTAGCTCTTCTCTTTAGATAGAGATAAGTAGGAGGCAAAGGAGTCTTCTTTCTTTAAAATTAGGGCAACATCTATAGTAAATTTCGTTATAACTAATTACTGGAAAGGAGCAGAGAAGTTGGGTATGATGCCACACATTTGTGATCCCAGAACTCTGCAGGCTGAGGCAGGCAGGAAGAGTGCGAGCTTGAAGCCAGTCTGGGCTATTTGGTGAGACTCTGGTAAGACATAAGCAAACAAAACAACAGGCACAGTTGACTGAAGATGGGGACTAGAAAAATAAACAGAGGGGACAAGACAATTAAGGTTTGTATGATTTTTAGTCCTGGGAATCACTGTGAAGAGAGTGGTGTAGCTAACAGTATTCAGAGAGGAAAGTAAAACATGGCAGTGGTGCAAGCCTGTAATCTTGGCACTTGGGATGTAGAAGGTCAAGAGTTCAGTGTTATCCCTGTCTACTTAACAAGTTCAAATCCAGTGTGAATTGTACGAGACCTGGCTCAAGAAAAGAAAAAAGAAGAGAAAAGAGGCAGGGGTTGATCTTGGGAGTGAAGGATGACCATGGGCTATCCATTTAGAGAGGATAGGAGAAATGGCTGGCCAGAGCTGTACTATAGATCAAGATCACACAGCCATTAGAAGAAGTGTTGGGGAAATGAACAACCTGATCTCCTGCTTCCCAGGCTGTTGGGCGTTTTTTTGTTTGTTTGTTTTTAATATTACATTTTGTCAAAGAACTTGAAAGAATCAAAACATCCATTTAAATATTTTCTCTTCTCTCTCAACTTACATTTATACACAAATGACATTATAACAATAATAAAGGGAAATTGGAACATGGTAAGTAAATTGCAATTAGTACATCCCCAAACACCCCAAACACATCATCTGTCTTCATTTGTTCCCTCTCCTGTTTTTTTCTGATTAGTTTGTGTATATGCATACTTTTACTTAATTTTAGTCCTAGCATACAGTCCATTTTGCATTATGCT